CCTGTTTTTAAATTCTTTTGGATCCTGGCTAGAAAGTACTGTACAGTTGCTAAGTATTTAAAAATTAATTATGTTGGAAGCCTATAAACCAGCGCATTGATTAAAAATCTTCAGCTCATTAAACTTCCCGATGGCACAGGCCATCTCTGTAATACAAACTGCCACTTCTAGCGGTGGCGGCCGACTGGCATCTGTGTTGTAATCTTTGTAAGATCCCCACCTTTGTTCATTAGACCAGCAGCTGCTGAGTCTCTCTGGGCGGATTTGTTTCCCCCTGACAGCAGTCGGCGAGGTGCAGTTGTGCCTTTCCCAGAATTTGATTCCAGTGAACTTTCTAGAGGCACTTGAGCATTTCTGCAGGGTTGGAGTTGTTTCCATGTGCGTTTTTGCAGTGAGCTGTTTTGAAAGGTCCACAAGTAATTGGGGCACATCTAGCAGAGGCCTGCTGCAGGCAGGGCACATCAGGTTCTTCTTGCGTGTCCCTAGCAATATATCTGCTAAAATGATACTTTTCTGTATTGGTTTTTTTCTTTTTCACTCCTGGCATCTGCCATGTGCAAGAATGGTAAGGCATCATTGACAAATTGTGCACGGTTAACTTGCTAAATAAGTAAACCTCCTGGATTTTCTGGTGGAAAACCAGGAATAAAGGTCTTGAAGAGATTCCTGAGAACAGGAATTACTATGAAAAAAGAGCATATAGTTTCTCAAAATATAAGTCTGCATATGTTGTTTACACCGTAGCTTCAATTTATCCAGTCTCAGATGCAAGGTCACAAAAGAAGTTAGGGCTTATTATTACCAAGGGAATTTTGTATTATTTTGCTGTGGTGTTTGATTACCTTACCCTATTTTATTACCATCTGCACCGCAAGATTGGTTTTGCTGAGGTCTTTTTTTTTTTTTCAAGCAGCATCCCATGATACCCTTAATTCTCTGTTTCCTTCGCTTTTGCTTCATTTGCAATTTTAAGAGATTTTCTATAAGAAATAGATTTGTTCTATGTTGTACATCAGTAAATTAGCTACTTTTTACTATGTAACTTTAACCCTTGAATTCTGGAGATACACTTGCTTTACAAGAAACTAAGTAAGAAAAAACATAACCTTTTAGCATCTTTTAGTGATGTAGAAAGACGTCAAAGATTTCAGTATTTTTAAGAACTCACTGGTTTTACAGTATGGTTATTTTACCGGGGAGTTTTATTTTGAAACTTGATTATTTCCATGTATCTTAAGCGGTTATTTTGAGGTGACTTCTTTGTGCATCCAGTACCATTGACTGCAGCAGCTTTGGAAGGAGTTTTTCTTCATTAAGGGCTTCTGCTAAATTGTTGGGAGAACAAAGTGCTGTCCCCAGTGGCTCCTAAAACTTATGGATGCATGCAATGTGATTGCTAATACTATTTTTAATGAAAAAAGTTGCAATAGTATTTGTAATAGCTTTATGCAAGCATGAACTGCCTGAAGTATAGAGTTAAATCTCAAGCTCCTTGAGCTGTTCTTCATCCCTCAAAATATCATTCCTATAAGCGTGTCAAGATCAGGGAAAAAACCCTTCCATGTGCTTCTCCAGCCAAGGCAGGGTGAAATGGTGCTTTCAGTTCTTGCCAGGGCTTAGAAATACCAAAGATTTGGCATGCAGGACAGAGGTGGGGCTTCTTGTCAGTTAGAACTGATAGTTTTCTTTGTGGGGTTTTCCCACGCCTTTCCTGTAGTTGTGAAATGACAGCTCACTGGTGAATATAAATGACCCAACGCATATATATATGATTTCCATACATTTGGACGGGAATGCAAGCTGTAGAAAATAGGCTAACTGAACAGAGTGATAGCTTCTGAGTTAAAGGGCATTTCTCTTTGGTTGTAGAAAATGGTGATAATGTATAATTTCTTACCTCTGTCACAAGATGCAAGTCAGATTGGAGCGAAGTGAAGTGCCTGGGTTTTTATAGCCAGTTGTGCATAGTAATTCCAGGAAAGGAACAGTGGGTTGCGGTTTAATGTTTCCCAAATCTGTTTTGAAAAACGCAGAGGAGCATATATACATCAAACTGATGGTACAGATGAAGTATTTGAAACCAATATATCAGGGGCTGTTCGCTTTCTTACAAAAGTAATTGGGCAGCGTGCCACCATTATCATGTAAATCTCTTCCTCCTCACTACACAATAACATTATATCTTTGGCCATCGTTTTCCCCCTCTTGAGATTGTTTCCATTATCTGCGATTTCCATAAAGTTATCCTGTTAACAGTGCTTAGCTTAGCTTCCCTGTATTTTGCTAGTCATCTCACACGTTCAGCAACTAAAGTATCTCACGTGAACGTTTTGTGCCTTCCCACTGTCTCTGTTTGAATTGATACAGCTAAGGCATGTTTTAGCAGAGGCTGAAGCATCGCATTTAGATTTGCTCATCTACTCTATCTTTGCCAATTTTTTTTCTTTACGTTATGCAGAGTGCTCAAATTTGGCAAGATGTTTCACTGCTTGAGTTGTTGCTAGAAGAATTATCAAAGTTGTGTTACATATTGGATATATTATTGGACATACAGAAGGTTTCTAGCGTGATTTATTGAGTTCTCATCATATTATATGGAATATGCGTATGTAGATTGGAGGCCATCTCTGCTAAAATATTTAATAAGTCATGATAGAAGAAATAGGTTATTTAGACAATGGTAATTGTATTTATATATTTTTTAAAGAAATCGTTCTACTGTGGAGTCACCGAAGTATATCAAATGCTAATGTCTGAGTTTCCATCTATGCCTGTCCACAGTATTCAATCATTTTCTGTTAAGCCATCTTTATGAGAGCAGCATGAACTTCTACTTGTTTGTTTTTGGCAGATGTCTTCCATTTTCCTTGTCATATGTCAAAATTGGCTATGATAGAATTGATTTGCCTCAGTTAAGAATTCAATTTTTTTCAATTACCTTTTCATCCTGCTGGAGGCTGCTTCAATCAGAAAGGCTGAGTTTGGAGCTGTGGAGAGCCAAGCAGCGATGGGCCATCTGTACCTCAGCTGTGTGCTCACCGAGAGCCTGCTTCTTCCCTCCTGAGGTTGTTTATAGATGGGGAGCTGGGGTTGCCTGTCTGTTGGCCATCACAGCTGATCTGGCACGTTGGTTTGTTAACCTACTGGGTTTGCTAATGTACTGTGGGTTTAGAAGAGGTAAATCTGTGCTTCTGCTTCTCCATGGGAGGTGGTGACTCCTTTCTGCAGGTTCTTTTGCTTGGCTGTGCTCTGAGCTGGACTGGTTAAAACTGAATGTGCTTTGGGGTAAAAAGAAGTTGGTTTATCTAGATGATTTGGTTAAGAGGGAGTCTGAACGAATAACTGTATAGACACAGGCCAGGGGAGGGTGCCCAACAGCTCAGGAAAAGAAATAGCTCAGGGTTGGAAATGCTTCATCCACTGCTGAGGATTGCGGACTGTTGCACTTGAGTTCTTGTCCGGTGCTTCCGAGGTGAAAGACTTCTTCCTCCATTGAGGACTGCAGTTTCAGTGCAGTGCTAAGCGTTAGTGATGTTTTGATGTTAATGTCTCAGGAAATATTAATGTTGGTAAGGATTGTGGTGGCACTGCTTATAAAAATATATTTGAGGTTTCAACGCATTCTGGTTTACTTATCCTGTTCGGTTTGGAAAAGCATTTCGTAATTAAGCTAAAATAATTAAATACAATGTTATGAGCACAGGAGAGATTTCCAGCGTTTTTTTTTTTTCCCCTGGAGGTTATAAAATATAATTCTTGCATTAGCATCTTGCAGTCTCTTGAGCTGAGCTGTTGGGTACACGAAGAAGGAAAACTCAGCTGAGGTTGAATAATAAGACTTGGCGTCATGGCTTTGGTGGCATGGATGGTGGAGCTCCTGAAGTTCCCTGCAGCCCGGCTGGCAGTGAGTGGTCAGATGGCCAAGCCTTGTGCTGTGCTACAAATCTTGGTGCCTCCACGTGGAATGGCACACAGGCAATTCTGCGAATCTGTGCGTTTCCCTTCTCAACTTGGCTTTTCAGACCCTTTTTTGCTTGAACTGTTTCAAAAGTGCTGTTGGGAATTGGTATAGCTTCAAACTGGTTAAATATGAAACAAAATATTGAACAACGCAAAAATAGAACCTATCTTTCTTGTATAAACAAAAAAATGTTTAGCCTTTATTCTTCAGCTTCGTAACTTTTCTGAATTGGATTGTAATTTATACAATGGTTATTTCTTGTAGTGGAACTTCATGGCTGCTGCTGACTTAGGGCCTTCATGTAGTTACTGTGTCGGTGCACACAGCATTTCCTTTTTTTTTGGTTGTTTCCTTTTTCTTTAACTTTTCTTCCATAATTACAGTAAATGATTTCTTTGATTGCATGTTGAGTGGGAGAAATGCTGTGCCAGCAGCCTTTTTTTTGCCTTTGCTACTGCTACTATTCTTTTGTTGCTTCCCAAGGGTAAAAAGATCTATGCACTCAACTAATTTTCTTGCATACTTAGCTGCAATTGCAACCTTTAGTAATTATTATTTAATTAACTCCACAATATTGCATGGATCATGCAAAACAAAAATGAAAAAGGAAAGAATAAAGGTCAAAAGAAAGTATTTTTGTAAATTTCAAGTCCGTAAACCCATAAGCATTATTTCATGGAGTTTTTGTTTAAGGCCTTGCCAGGACATTGATGTTAAATAGCCTGCATAATTCTAGAAGAATCAGAGCTATATAGAAAAAAAAAGTTTGGTATTTATCTGGGAATCAATGTTACTGTCATAATAGAAAGAGAGAATTTATTTGAGCCTTGAACAAGACCACCTGCTATGGAAATTTTAATTTCCATTGACTGTTTCTGGCAGAAAAAAAGTTTGTTTATACTTAGATGTCTGCTCGTAGATCTGTACCTGTAAAAATGAGCAGTAAATGCTAGTGGCCATGCATTTATTTGAATGCTTGTCACGCGCAGTTTGAATGCACAAAAAATGTTTTTAATAAATGTTCTGGGTTCTTTTGTAGTGGACGGCTGTATACACAGAGCTGCTGGGCCCTGCTTACTTGCTGAATGCCGCAACCTGAGTGGCTGTGAGACTGGACAAGCAAAAATTACGTGTGGATATGACCTACCAGCAAAATGTAAGTCATCTCTTAGCAGCTTTTTGTTTTACGCACGTGGAGCTGGTATGCATGCTTTATTTCCCCGTAGTCTAATTCAACAAGGTATTCATTTTACAAGGTTAGCAGAGGGACTTAATTAAGCATGTTCTGTAATAATGTCTTTCCCTCAAAGCAATTCAGGCTTTTCTAAACGATTATTTCACCTATGTTATCCGATGGAAACTCACATGTCCCTAAAATAGAAAACATCTTCCGTGTTTATTTTTCTTGCGAGCTAAAACATATCCTTTCATATGCATAATAAAGGATTTGAAATGCTTTATGAAGTATGAACAAAATATACATTATCATATTTAAGATCCATGGAGACAGGTTTTGGAAATGTTGCACGTTTCATATTCTTCATGCAGATTTGTTGATTGTGAATACTTTGATAGCTGAGGAGATCAAAGTGATGTATTGTGTTTTTCAGCTGCTATGTTGAGGCTGATTGGCAATTACTGTGAAGGCATCTGTCACACTTTAGCTTTTGGTGGAGTGCAGATCAATGTTGAAATGTTTTTGCACTTTGAAAGTGGAAATGACAAAATTCCCATCTTATTTAAAAAAGGAAGAAGGCTATTTGACCTTGTCACATAGTTGTTGAGCTGGTCTTGGAAAAAAATAATGTGTTGACACCATGTTGGTTGGACAGCCTATTGTGTAAGAGTCAAATGTAGGGAATCTCTTCAAGAATATTAAGATATGATACAAATATCAAGAAACAACGTATAACTAGTATTCAAACTTATTTTAATGTGTAATCAGCACTTGTAACATGGCTCATTTCAGATCTGCTCCCTTAATTTGTTTTAGGCTGTTTTGACATAAAATCAAATGCATAGTGCAGAAACAAGTATCTTTTTAGGTTCCTGTGGCTCTTAACACCTTATAAAGAAAAGAGTCTGGTTCCAGTTGTTTGTTGGCACCTTCCGTGGTGATGATGATAACAATGTTTACCAGCAGTTATTTCCTTGACAATGATAATTGCAATATTGCAGGAAAAATTTCATGTGTTTTATATGTAAATTTACCACGTGGTTAATGATTATTTATGAAAGGTTAATTTGGCTTCGGATTGGGAAATCTGAGGAGATCCAATGTGGTGGCTACTTTGGGGTTTTCTATGCGATCAAAATCTTGACCAATTTCCTGTAAAAGTTGATAAGGTTGTCGGGTAACATTGTCTCTATTGTGAATTTTTGAGGTCTAATTCTTGTACTCTAAGAAAAAAGACAGAAAGAAGGAGGGAAAAAGTCTTGGGAGTCACAGAAAAGTTGCTCATGCATGGGTACTTAATTCCTCCCATTTATTTCAATGAGAGAAAATAAATGCAAGGTACCAAAGCAATGAGCACTGAACTGTGTTTGGAAAAGATAGGGTCATGTCTGAGACATGGCCTCCCTTTAAATTTTATAGGAGTTTAATAGGTCTTGCTTAAGTTAGGTTTGTGGAATTGGATTATGATTGAAGGCTATAGGGAATTTTTTTAATTTGTTCTTTATATAAGAAAACAAAACAATGAGAAAACACTTGTGGTTGAAATAAAACCTGTAACTACCTGTAGAGAAAAGCCAATATTCTGCTTAATTGATATTCTTTGAAATGGAAGCTGCATCAAAGACACGTCTATTTATATATGATCATGCATCAACATGAAATGGGGAAAGGATACATTAACTGGCAAGAAGGCAAAAAGAGGGAAATAGACAGTTTTTGTGCAGTCTGACAATTAGTTACTCTTGGCTTAGATTGTTTCCTTAAAATGTATTTGTGTTCATCAACTGCTTTCTTTTGCTCTTCCTTTTAGAAGCTTTTGATTATGGGTCATTAAATTATTGTACCGTGTAAACTCTGAAAGGGATCAAACAATCTGAACTCTGTTTTCACTTTTTAAAGGAGCCACGTAATATCTTTTGCCACTCTATGTCGCTTTGTTGTACCAGTATGACAGTGGAAATGTATTTTACATTTGATTTTTGCAGTGAAGCAGCAATGTGGCAGGATGTCCTGACTCTCCCATCCAGGTGTTCTGTGAAGCAGTTGTGCAAGTCAGCAATTTGTTTGAAGCCATAGGTGAATGGATATGTGCCAGCTTTTGAGTTTGCTTTTCACCTAGTTGTATGTGTGAGACCTACTACAATAATTAATTAACAGTTTAGAGTAGTAATTTGTTTTTTTGTTGCTTCTGGTCTTCATGAGATTGTAATTAGATGAGTAATGATATCAAATGTGAAATATAGTTCTTATTGTGATGGATGAATTGTTATTTTTTGTTGTTTAGCAGAGTTGTAAATGTTCCGACCATACTTACTATCCCTGGGGTTTTACCATCTCGTTCTCACCTCTAGTCTCTGAAATCAGCAAAGCTGCTCTAGGACAGAGCAGTTTACCCACGCGATGTATGATGCAGGACTTGGGCTTGAACTGCAAACTCAGTGTTAAAGAAGGTTTAGGATTCTAAGGTCATGCAGCATATTGCATAGTTTTACAGGTAACTTGGAGGAAGCTGGAATTAAATTGGCTTTTAAAGGAAAAGGAAAGTGATAGTTGGTAAATAAAAAGTACTGTGGCTATCTACTTTGTAAACGATTGTATCTTTATTGTATAATTAGCTGTATTGACTTGCATTAAATAAGAACAGGCGCGATAACTGTTTTATCACAAATGAAAAATGGAGAAAAAATGCCGAAGCAAAGTATGAAGACGTATGGCAGAAGCTGGTCTTCTGTGTTTTGTTCTGGTAGTTACATCTGTCAGATCAGTCTCTGGAGTACACAAGTAACATTAAGTGCTTAGGGAGAGAATGCAGAAAATAGTGTTTTTTTCCCCTCGTCTTTTCATCTTAGCAATGCGAACAGACAAAGACTGATGTGTCTGAAGCCTAGATATGTTGCTTTATGGGCTTTTCAAGACGTATTTTTGGAAGTCAAAGAATAGTCTTTAAGGAAATAGAGGTGAAATCAAGATTCGTTTTCTAATTACCAGTTAATGCACAGTTTTACAGAAGTCAGTGTAATCACCATCTGCCTTCTGTACTGCAAAAGCCTGCACAGAGACCCTCAAATGCCACCCTCAAGTGCCAAGCAAGTTATTTGTTGAATGCGCAATTTGATTGATGTAATTTGTTGTTGTCTTTCAGCAAACCTATTTGTACACCCAGCTTTTCACTGGAGTTGAAAAAGCATCACTTTTTGGTCAGATAGATTCCTTTAATGCTTTTCCGAAGGAATAACCAGTCACTTAACTTTGTACCCCATATTGTTATTCCTGTTTAAAGAAAAGTTTATTCTAGAACTTGTACAACTGATCTTCAAACAGTGAACAGCGCTTTCACCCCATCGTGCTTTAAATAGCAGATGAGAAGGATCTGTTTAAAGCTCTACTAATGCTAGTTTTCCTTCTTGTTTGATTGATGGTCTCAGTTGGTTCTACCGACAGAAAATGGTCTGAATGTGAATTGTGTTTATACCTGGAGCCAAGGGTGCACGACAGCCTCGTGGCTTGTTATCTGCTTGGAGAGGTCCGCCATAAAAAAGAGCCCGTCAGAACACATTAAAAAATAGAGTCCTGTTCTACGAGGGTTTTAATGGCTTTGAAACCAATTGAAGACATGGTAACAACATCTGAAATAAGTAAGTGGTACACTAACTTTGGCAGGAAAGGAGTCTCTGAATGAACTTTTTCCTACTGTTAATATTTCTAATAATCATTTCTTTCTTTTTATGAAAAATGTTTGATAATAAACCCCCCAAACCTGGGAAAATAAAATCTTAGGGTTTCTAGTATGGGATAGAGCCAACCATTAGTAAATTAAATCTGAAAGTTTGACTTTGAGTGAAAGGAAACACCTTGCTGGAAATGCTACCCAGTTTCTAATATATTGTTTCTGTTGCTAATAAGGCCGTAATATTTAGAGCAGTTCTTTCTGATTTGATGTTGTGAGTGCTACAAGCAATGTTGTCTAGGAAATGCTGTATAGACTTCTGGTCTATCTGGAGTAATAATGTGCATGTGCTCTCAAAGACAGTTCCTGCTGTGAAATAAGTAGCTAGTGGAAGTGCTAGTATTAAACACAGTAGGAAGAATCAGCCTTTCAATTTGTTTAATCAGATTAAAAAGTAGAGATTAAAAAGCGGAGATTAAAAAGAGTGCTACTACTAGATCCATAATTTTTGGTGTTTAACAGATTTAGAGGAACATTTGGAGTGTATTATTTTAATGTAAGGCTGTAAAGGTGGAGAACTTAAAACTCGATATTTGCTTGGAGACTGCTTACAGATCTGTAATTAAAAGGTTGATTAGACAGAAATGGAACTCCAAAGGCTGTACTCCAGTACTCCAAAGCTGATCAGTTGAAAAATGGAGAGTAATATTTAAGCATATTATCCAAATTCCCTGGATTCCTCAAAGAACTTTGCTCCTTTTCTTACTTTCAAAACCTTGATTGATTTAATAATGTTTATAATTCACTTTAAATATGTGCTTGACTCAGAGATGCTTTCTTTTTTGTAGTTCTGATGCAAAAAAACATGTTTTCTTTGCACAATTGTTGTTCATTTTACCCACTTCATTTTTCTTTTCATGAGAGATTTGAGGAAAGAGAAAAGAATGTGAGTTGAGAAGGACTGCATTAGAGATGACCAATATGTGTCCAAGAGATGATTGTTTGGAAAAGATCAACTTGGCTTCCATTTACCTGTTGGTCAGGGTCTTCATTCTGCCATAGCTTTTAAATAGTTCAGTGAAAAGAGACATGCCACCAGATACACAACTGAAGAAATTTCAGGTGAAGAAGACTACTGAGAATTAGAGGGTGATACAGTCGTTAATATGACTGAAGATCTGCAATGTTAGGGAGGAGTGTCTTCACACTCCTTGCCTTTGCACAGCAGCATCACATAATTGTCACCGTTCTGCCTAAATGGTGTGAGACTTAATGAAAAAAGGTTTAGCCCAAAACAGCTCTATAAGTGTAT